CTCCGGCTCACACATTTCTATCTTAGCTCAGGAAGGAGGGCTCCAGAGCAAACTAGTTTATCCAGCAGCCAAATTGCTCACTCACAACTTTAATACCAGTCGCTCACAAAGTAGAATTTTTGCTCACAAGACTCCGCAGCTTAGAGGGAATATTGCTCCAGACCAATGCTCCCTCTAAGCTGTGGAGTCTTGTGAGCAAATGTTCTACTGGATGAGCCACTGGCATTGAAGTTAAGAACATAAGAACATAAGAGATGCCAATGTTGGATCAGGCCAAAGGCCCATCCAGTCCAACACTCTGTATCACACAGTGGCCAGAAATACCAGTACCATCGGGAGGTCCACCAGTGGGGCCAGGACATTAGAAGCCATCCCACTGTTGACCCCCCCAAGCACCAAGATGACAGAGCATCACTTGCCCCAGAGTCCCTATCTATACCTTGTGGCTAATAGCCACAGATGGACCTCTGCTCCATATGCTTATCCAATTCCCCCTTGAAGCCGCCCATGCTTGTAGCCGCCACCACTTCCTGTGGCAGTGAATTCTTCAATCACTCTTTGGGCGAAGAAGTACTTCCTTTTATCTGTTCTAACCTGACCGCTCAGCAAATCACTGTGAGCCAGTGATTTGGCTGCTGCATAAATTAGTCTGCTCTGGAGCCCTTCTTCCTGAGCTCAGACAAAAAGGTGTGGGCCGGAGTCTAAAAGCCTGTGAGCTAGCTCACACTAACTCAGCTTAGAGGGAACACTGCCCCAGACTACAGAGGTCAGTTCCCGTGGAGAAAACGACCGCTTTGGAGGGTGGACTCTGTGGCATCCTATGCGGCTAAAGTCCCGCCCCTCTCCAGACCCCGCCCTCTCCAGGTTTCATCTCCAAATCTCCAAGGATTTCCCCAACCCTACTGAGGAAGTCCCTCCATCGGCTTTGCCTCTCCCTTGCACTTGACTTCAGGAGATGATCTGTTCCGGTTTTGTTTGTTTCATCCAATGGCCTCCTGTTAAGTCCGGTGCTTAACAAAATAGTCAGAGAGTGATTTCAGCAAAACTCAGGTTTATTTCAGCTCGACGATCCCTTCTCTAACACGGTACAACTTCTGATAGCCCGAACAGCTTTTCCATTGCAGCTGCTCGGTATTTAAACATTCCGGGCTAATGTAGCCACGCCTACTATACAGTTATCAACCTATCAGGTTGAGCGAATAAGGACCAATCAGAATCTTTCCCGCTTATATACATTTGAACCTGATTGGTCGCATTAGTCTTGGACTTCAATCCCTGTTCAAGACGAAGCTTAACATTGCTTCCTTATGAGATGTTTCACATTACATCTTAACGTATTCATGGCAGCTTCTGAATACGTTACACCTCCCCTGTCCGGATCGCTTCTAACTCCATCTGAAGTCAGAGACTCGCAGTTCTGTGCGATGATCTTTCCCCCAAGCACAGGCCGATCGGGGATCGTAGTGCTGACTTCAGAATCTTGCGCTGCCAGATGTTCAGCATTCTAGGCATATTTCGTTCCATGGGTCCTGCACGAGAAATTATCATCTGCCAAACCGACTGGACGACACGGCGAAATTTAGCGAGATTTATGAGCACTCTCCCAAACCTTGCCTGAGGACTTAATCCCAAAAAGGGTCCAGTTCCCAAATATCCTGTCTGCAAAGCTTAAAGATGAGTTTTGTTTTTCAGGCAAGGAAGAGGATGGGAGCTGTTCCGTAGCTCTGCAGTCCCCGCGAAAACAGAACTCTGAAAAAATATCTCCCTGCATGAATCACTCGATATTAATTTAGTGGCGAGGAAAGGGCACAGAGGCATTTTTAATTGGACCAAGAAAGATATTTCCCCCCCCTCTTTGGTTTGAAGGTCACTGTTGTTTTGCCTTTCTGGGCCTGTCCAGAATGGGCTGGGTGGGGGGGTGGAATTTCCAGGGCAGGACTACAGTCGCTTGTCTATCTGCCCAGTGGCTCTCAGTCTGGAGAAACAAGACACTTGAAGGGGGGAGGGAGTTCCGGGATGGGGGGACTCTTTCAAACAGTGTAGAAGAGAAGAGGAGATTGGATTCATACCCTGCCCTTCACTACACACAGGAGTCTCAGAGCGGCTTACAAACTCCTTTCCCTTCCCCTCCCCACAACAGACACCCTGTGAGGTGGGTGGGGCTGAGAGAGCTCTTGACAGAAACTGCTCTTCTTCGAGAACAGCTCTTATCAGAACTACGGCTTGCCCAAGGTCATCCAGCAGCTGCAAGTGGAGGAGTGGGGGATCCAACCCGGTTCTCCCAGATTAGAGTCCGCGCCCTTAACCACGATACCAAACTGGCTCAAACTATAGCCAAAGAGTTTTCCTCCCAGCAGCAGATAGTTTGCGTTGCTCTGCATGAAAGTCGCAGAGATGCAGGGGATGTGTTGTTGCCAACTCCGCATTGGGAAATCCCTGGAGGGACATCAGCAGGGCATAATGCCAGAGTCCACCGTTCCAAAGCAGCCATTTTCTTCAGGGGGGCTGATCTCTGTAGTCCGAAGACCAACTGTAATTCTGGGAGATCTTCAGGCCCCACCTGGAGGCTGGCAACCCTAGGAGGGAAACCGAGATGTTCCGGTCCTCCTTTATTTGCCAGTTGTCAGATTAGAGTCCCAGTCCACAGATCCTGAGAGTTCAGCACGCACCGGATTGCCAGCACTAGGCTGGGAAATATCTGGAGATTTTGAGAGTGGCGCCTGTGGAGGGTGGGGCTTGGGGAGGGGAGGGGCCTCAGCCAGGGTATATATCAGGGGTGGCCAAACGTGCTCAGCATGAGCCACGCAGAATAAACGTCAGATGTTTGAGAGCCGCAAGACGTGAGCAAATATTACACACACGTTTTTATTGGGGAAATATGCAAATTTGCTTTTTACTAACATTAAATGAGAATGCCAAAAATAAAAACAAAAAGGGGTTAAAACAGATATTCATAACGATATGTATTTGTTCGATGCGATTTGTCTGTTTGCTAATGATATTTACTTGTCTAAGAGGGAGAAAGAGATGGGGTAGGAGGGAAGGAAGGAAGGAAGGAAGGAAGGAAGGAAGGAAGGAAGGAAGGAAGGGAGAAAGAACAAGAGAAAAAAGGTGGAAAGAAAGTAAATAGCTGGTGGAGGGAGGGAGGGTGGAAGGGGGAGAGAGAGAGAGACAGAGAAACAAAGAAAGCAAATAGATAGGGAGAGAAGGGGGAGGGTAGAAGGAACACAGAGAGAGAAACAAAAAGCAAATAGATGGGGAGGGAGGGGAGAAAGAATAATAGAATCATAGAGTTAGAAGGGAGAAAGAAAGGTGGAAAGAAAGCAAATAGATGGGGGAGGGAAGGAGGGAGAGGTGGAAAGAAAGCAACTTTAATTGTAAACGCATCCTCCAAGCCCCCCCCCCACCCCATGGTGGCTGGTTTCGCTTGGAGAAGGGATTTAAAGAGACAAATGCCTTCTCCAAGCCAGCGGGGGGGGGGGAGCGCTTTGAGAATGCATTTAAAGTTGCTTTCTTTCTCTCCTCCCTTCACCTTGAGCCTACCCAGGGAGGGGAACACTGGCCGGGGAAGGGAAGACCAATCGGGAAGGCCTGCCTCCCCTTCATTTCCCCAGCCGCCCTGCCGGGAGCCGCACAATATGTGTGAAAGAGCCACATGTGGCTCCCGAACCACAGTTTGGCCAGCCCTGGTATATCTAATGCTATTGGGTCCACCTTCCAAAGCAGCCATTTTCTCCAATTGCAATAGCGGGAGACCTCCAGGTGCCGCCTGGTCGTTGGCGACCCCGATTACATGCAGCATGCCTGCAACTGTGTAAAAGGAGTCGAGGTGTTTACCTGCTGAAGAGATGGCCAGGGAGGGACTGTGGGGCTTGCGATGACAGGTGAACGGCCCAGACACCTGAGAGACTCTTGCACCAGAAGCCAGGAGTGCTCAAGGTCCAAAAATGGGGATTTAGAACAGGGCCTGTCTTGGCACCACAATAGCCCTCGTTCTCCACTTGTTTGGGCCTCGGTGGAGAAATATGCACGGGGCCGCCAAAGCCTTCACCGGGGTCTCGGCGACAAGGAGGCTGAGATATCCAGTTGCAGGTTCTTGGCAGGTGGATGTTTCGAGTCGAGCCCAGAGGCCGCGGGGTGCTTAGAAGCAGTGTTCCCTCTAAGCTCAGTTAGAGTGAGCTAGCTCACAGTTTTTAAGCCTCCGGCTCACACATTTTCGTCTTTGCTCAGGAAGGATGGCTCCAGAGCAAACTAATTGATGCAGTAGGCAGATCCCTCTCTCACAACTTTCATGCCAGTCGCTCACAAAGGAGAATTTTTGCTCACAGGACTCCAGAGCTTAGAGGGAACATTGCGTTAGAAGAGGGCGGGGATGGATGAGCGGGGGAGGCGGCCCGGAGCTCCAGCCGCCAGGCAAGGCAAGGCTACCTGTGTGTGTTAAGCACCGTCAAGTCATTTCCGACTTATGGCGACCCTATGAATGAATGGACGTCCTCCAAAACTCAGGTCTTGCAAACTCAGGGTCCGTGGCTTCCTTTCAGACAGCCTTTGTCATCCGTTTTAGTAGCGGGTTGCTCGGGGGTTTCTGTGTGTCGGTTCAGACACAGCCGTTTTCGCAATCGGCTGCTGCTTTGGTTTACCTGCTCGTTCCACATCTGCTCATTCCACATCTAGCATTTGCTCCGCTTAGGGTTGCCAAGTGGCACTTACCTTGCCGGCGGGGGACTCCCGTGCGGAGTTCCTCAGCACAAACCCAGGATCCAGGAAGGAACTTGCCTTGGAGACAAGTTCCAGGTACCAGTGGAGGGCAAGGTGTCTGAGTAACCAATTGCCCGTTTAACTTCTATCATCTTTGCGCAGTGGTAGTCTGCAGAGCCTCCTTGTGACCAAGTGGCATGTTGAGGCGTGAGTCTTTCTCCCCAGGGTAATGGCTCAGCTTTGGAGATCTGGGAAAAGCCGTCCTTCAGACAGGCTTGCATTTATCTGTTTTTGTCTTGCAGAGGACACATACGCTTCGGAAGAGGTGGTCGACCAACAGCCGGTACTGCTGAAGGTGATGGATACGGCTGACCAGGTATGGAGAGCTGAGCGTCAGGTAGGGTTGCCTTCTCCCACAATCCCTCCCTCTCCCCCCAACTCCCTCTCTCTCTCCCTCTCTCTCCCCCTTTCCCCCTGGGATTCTGAGCTGAAGTAACGGGCGTGCTGCCCTTGAAGGAGTTCTTCTTTGCCTCCACTTGTGTATTGATAATAAAGCTGAGAGTGCAAAGAGACTTTAAGACTCCAGCGGGGTTTCTTCTCCAAAGGAGGCTAAATTCAACCAGCACTGCCTCTGGAACTCCTCGCCACTTGAGGAAAGGGGAGAGCGTGCAGCAATGCAGAAGCACCAGGTTCGGTTTCAGACCCGGGGGTCGCGATTCACTCTCCATTTTCCCATGCCCTGAATTATTGACCTCAATTATTGAATGACTGCCTTGAATTATTACTCAGTCTCCGCAAGAGCTGAACTGGTTCTCTTCCTGAGCCCTCGCTACCTCCTGCGAGGTTCAGGTGTTGATCCTGCAGTTTGAGGGGGCAGGCCCAAGAGGGGATGGGTGAGGGTTGCCACCCTCCAGGTAGGGCCTGGAGATTTTGCAAAACTACCGCTGATCTACAAAGATGAGTTCCCCTGGAGAAAATGGCTGCTTTGGAGGGTGGACAATATGGCGTTGTACCCCGCTGAGGTGCCTCCCCTCCCCAAACCCCACCCCCCAGACTTGCCTCATATCTCCAAGAATTTCCCAGTCTAGAGCAATGCCCCCTCTAAGCTGTGGAGTCTTATGAGCAAAAATTCTACTTTTGTGAGCTACTGGCATTAAAGTTGTGAGCGAGCTGCTGCATGAATCAGTTTGCTCTGGAGCCGCATCCTTTCTGAGCTAGGACAAAAATGTGTGAGCCAGTTTGGTGTAGTGGTTAAGTGCGCGGACTCTAATCTGGGAGAACCGGGTTTGAGTCCCCACTCCTCCACTTGCACCTGGCTGGATGACCTTGGGCAAGCCGTAGTTCTGATAAGAGCTGTCCTTGAAAAAGAGCAGTTTCTGTCAAGAGCTCTCCCAGCCCCACCTACCTCACAGGGTGTCTGTTGTGGGGAGGGGAAGGGAAAGGTGTTTGTAAGCCGCTCTGAGACACCTTTGGGTAGTGAAGGGCGGGGTATAAATCCAATCTCCTCCTCCTCCTCCTCCTCCTCTTCTTCTTCTTCCAAACTTTGAGCTAGCTCACACGAACTCAGCTTAGAGGGAACACTGGTTTAGAGTTGGCAACCCTCACTTGGGTGTGGCTTTTTTTGCTGCATCAAAATACCTCAGACCCCCGTTCTGATGACAACCGTCAGGGAAACAGAGTCGGGTTTCTCTTAAAGCCGAGAGTCCAGAGCTCTTTTTAATTACACTCGAAAAAGCTGAGTCACACAGATCTAATAAGCAAATACCAAAGTCGGCCAGCAGTCCCACCTGCCCAGAGGAGCAGAATCTGCTAACTTTGCATAGCGTAGAGTTCCCTGGCCCAGGGCGGTCCTATTCACATCCTCTGGCACAATGGCCTCTTTATGCACTGCCAAGTGCAAAATATGTCCAATGGGGGGGAGGTGTTGAAACAATAGACAAAGGGGAGGGGGCAGGATGCTAATAGGTGGACTTTGCAGCCCCCTTCCCTACGAGGAGGAGTTCAAGGTTAAGATAAGAAGAAGAAGAAGAAGAAGAGAGGAGGAGGAGGAGGAGGGGGAGATTGGATTTATACCCCACCCTTCACTACCCAAGGGAGTCTCAGAGCGGCTTACAATCTCCTTTCCCTTCCCCTTCCCACAACAGACACCCTGTGAGGTAGGTGGGGCTGAGAGAGCTCTGACAGAAACGGCTCTTTTTCAAGAACAGCTCTTATCAGAACTATGGCTTGCCCAAGGTCATCCAGCCAGGTGCAAGTGGAGGAGTTGGGAATCAAACCCGGTTCTCCCAGGTTAAGAGTCGGTGCACACTTCACCGCTACACCAAACTGGCTCCCACACCAAACTGACCCATGGTAGTTTACACAATTATGAATGAGGTGTAGACAATGTTTTTCACTCTCTCACACAACATGGGCTTCCTTCAGACATCACAACAAATTTGTGGGCTCAGAGGCAGAGCCTCTGCCTGGCATGCAGAAGGCCCCAGGTTCAATCCCCGGCATCTCCAGTTTAAAAAGATCTGGCCGTAGGTGATGGGAAAGACCTTCTTCTGCCTGAGACCCCGGAGATCCGCTGCCGGTCTGAGTAGACCAGACTGACTTTGATGGACCCGGGGTCTGAGTCAGTAGAAGGCAATGTCATGTGTTCGTCTGACACGAAATCAAAATTTGCACCAATCCATCCTCTGGCCGGGTTCATGCGCGAGTCTCCCTCCCTTCTCCCGCCGGGAATCCTGGTGAGAAACTAACTCTGCTTACCTGTGAATGCAGATGTGTGGATTCACGGCCATTAGTTCCCCCTTTCCACCCAACTAAGATTCTAAACCAGAGTTTAATCCAGGTTTAGAATCCCGGATTGTGGAAGGGAAACTAACTTCCAGTGAACTGGCATACTTCTATTTGGGTGTCATGGGTGTGTTTCCAGTAGGGATTTTTCCACTCGAGGAGGGGGCATGATTTTGAGCACACCAACAACCTGGGTTTGTGCACTCCCTGGCTTAATGCGGACTTGCTGAGGGGTCTGCGTGGCTCCCCTCCCCGCAAAGCACTGCAGTCGGTTAAGTTATTAGCAGTCCTGAATTGCGATTTCAAATCTTGGTTTTTATGTTTTTTTAGGTTTGATTTATTGTGCGTATTTTATCTGTGCCGTGAGCCGCCTGAGCTCCGTAAGGAAGAAAGGAAGCTAATAAATGTTTTTAATGTTTTGGAGAACCAGTTTGGTGGAGTGGTTAAGAACCGCTGGACTCTAATCTGGAGAACCGGGTTCGATTCCCCACTCCTCCACATGCTGCTGCTGGTGTGACCTTGGGTCAGTCACAAGTTCTCTCAGAGCTGTTCTCTCAAGAGCAGTCCTCGAAAGAGCTCTTTCAGCCCCACCTACCTGACAGGGTGTCTGTTGTGGGGAGGGGAAGGGAAAGGAGATTGGAAGCCGCTCTGAGACTCCAAGTGAAGGGCGGGTATAAATCCAATCTCTTCCTCTTCTTAAATAAATGGGATGAACAAGCATAAAACTATGGAAGGTGTGTGGAGAGAGAGAATTTTTCACCCTTGGTGTTACCGATAGTTTGTCGGGGTCACCAGTGAAACGAAGTGGTTGTTTTTCAGGGCAGGCAAAAGGAAGCACCTGACTTCACACTTGTGGAGTGCGGAACTCTCTGCCACAAGAATGTGGTCTATCAGCAGCTATGAGGCATGCTATCGGAACCTCTGTGTGGGAAAGAGGGCGTGGCTTGGAACTGAGGAGAAATTAAAAGGCTGCATCAGTCACTAAAAGATTTTTAAAAATAAGTCCAAGGCAGATGGTGCCAGTAAAGTAAAAAAATATACATTATTACTTGGCTAAAAGTTCCCTATGCGTTTCTCCAATAGGTGTCTTTAGGGGAATCCGTACAAATTGTAATCTGGTTTTTAAAACAATGTTTTATTTATTCCCATAATTTTAACTAAATAACCATTGCTATAGAATAATGAGAACTCAGTACTGTATTTGTATACTATATTACGGACTCCCCTAATTAATTAATTATCATATGGCATTATGGACAGAATAGCCAGGAGAGCCTAAGATTGTCTGGCAGCCCGAAGTTCTAGCTCTTTAGCATTATGCACCACTAGGTGGCGAGCTAGACTTGTTTTTAGGGCAAGAGATGGTCAGAGATGGTTTGCCATTGCCTGCCTCTGTGTCACGGCCCTGATATTCCTTGGAGGTCGCCCTTCCAAATACTAGCCAAGGCCGACCCTGCTTAGCTTCTGAGACCCAATAGGCTCCAGATTCACAAGAAGAAGCCTGTTGGTGAAACACATGGGGAGTTTTTAGCTGAGTACTAAAATCTAGTGTTTTGTTACTTTACTTTCACCATCGGCCTTGGCTTTGATTTTTATCTCTTGGCTTGGCGCTGGCCACCCGAAAGTGCAGAGCCAGGAAGGGTTGAATGTACTTTGTTTGGAATGGACCATTTTCCTTGAACTCAGCCTAACGGGATGCCGGTAACCATTCCTGATGATGCACCTCTCCATTAGGATGCGCCAGTAAGCTGTGAACGCTACCTGAACTGGGCCCACGCCTACCTGGTGGTCTACAGCATCAACAACCGAAAGAGCTTTGACGGGTCCCAGCAGTACCTGGAGATCCTCGCGCTCCACTCGAAAAACGCCCAGCACGAAGCCCCCGTTCTCCTCGTGGGAAACAAACTGGACATGGAACAGTACAGGTGAGGAGGAGGCTGCAGGCAAGGAATAGACTTGTTCACGGGTCTCCAACATGGTGCCCAACGGCCCATCTAGTCCAACACTCTGTGTCACACAGTGGCCAAAACCCAGGGACGATCAGGAGGTCCACCAGGGGGACCAATGTTCCCTCTAAGCTGTGGAGTCTTGTGAGCAAAAATTCTACTTTGTGAGCTACTTGCCATTAAAGTTGTGAGCGAGCGATTTGGCTACTGCATAAAGTAATTTTCTCTGGAGCCATCCCTTCCTGAGCGAAGACAAAAATCTGTGAGCTGGAGGCTAAAAAACTGTGAGCTAGCTCACACTAACTCAGCTTAGAGGGAACACTGGCCAGAACTCCGAGCCCTCCCACTCTTGCCCCCCCAAGCACCAAGAAGACAGAGCATCACTGCCCCGGACAGTCTTCCATCTATACATCGTGGCTAATAGCTCCTCGTGGACCTCTGTTCCATATAAGAGCATAAGAGAAGCCTTGTTGGATCAGGTCCATGGCCCATCCAGTCCAACACTCTGTGTCACACAGTGGCCAAAACCCGGGTGCCATCAGGAGGTCCACCAGTGGGCCCAGAACTCCAGAAGCCGTCCCACTGCGGCCCCCCAAGCACCAAGAAGACAGAGCATCACTGTCCCAGACATAAGAGAAGCCTTGTTGGATCAGGTCAATGGCCCATCCAGACCAACACTCTGTGTCACACAGTTGCCAAAACCCAGGGACCACCAGGAGGTCCACCAGGGGGGCCAGAACTCCAGGAGCCTTCCCACTCTTCCCCCCCCCCAAGCACCAAGAAGACAGAGCATCATTGCCCCGGACAGAGCGTTCCCACTATACCTTGTGGCTAATAGCCGCTGATGGACTTCTGCTCCATCTGTTCATCCAAACCCCTCTTGAAGCCGTCCATGCTTGTAGCCCCCGCCACTTCCTGTGGCAGTGAATTCCACGTGTTAATTACTCTTTGGGTGAAGAAGGACTTCCTTTTATCTGTCCTAAACCTACTGCTCATCAATTTCATTGAGTGCCCACGAGTTCTTGTATTGTGAGAAACGGAGAAAAGTACCTATGTTCCCTCTAAGCTGTGGAGTCTTCTGAGCAAAAATTCTACTTTGGTAGCTGCTGGTATTAAAGTTGTGAGTGAGCGATTTGGCTACTGCATAAATTAGCTTGCTCTGGAGCCCTCCTTCCTGAGCTAAGACAAAAATCTGTGAGCTGGAGGCTAAAAAGCTGTGGGCTAGCTCACACTAACTCAGCTTAGAGGGAACAATTTTGTAAACCTCTATCATGTCATTTCTCTAAGCTAAAGAGCCCCGAGCATTTCAACTTTTCTTCACAGGAAAAGTGTTCCATCCCCTTAAGCATTTTAGTTGTCCTTTTTTGAATTTTTCCAATGCTATAATATCTTTTTTGAGGTGCGGTGACCAGAACTGTACACAGTATTCTAAATAAGGTCACACCATCGATTTATACAGGGGCATTAGGATTCTGGCTGGTTTGTTTTCAATTCCCTTCCTAATAATCCCCAGCATAGAATTTGCCCTTTTTATTGCAGTCGCACACTGAGTCAACATTTTCAGTGAGTTATCTACCATGACTCCAAGATCTCTCTCCTGGTCAGTTACCGCCAGTTTGGACCTCATCAATGTGTATTTATAGTTGGGATTTTTGGCTCCACTGTGCACTTGCCTATGTTGAGCTCCATTTGCAACACTGATGCCCACTCGCCCAGCCTCGACAGATCCCTCACAGTCCTCCCTGGTTCTCACCACCCTGAACGACTTAGTTTCTTCTGAAAACTTAGCCACTTCACTGCTTACTCCAAACTTCAAGTCATTAATGAACAAGTTAAAAAGAACCGGACCAAGTACTGATCCCTGCGGTACCCCCCTGCTTACCACCCTCCACTGAGAAAATTGCCCATTTATACTCACTATCTGTTTCCTATTAATTAGCCAGTTTCTGATCCACAAGAGGACTTGTCCTTTTATCCCGTGACTATTGAGCTTACTTAGGAGCCTTTGATGAGGAACTTTATCAAAAGCTTTCTGGAAGTCAAGGTATACAACATCTATTGGGTGTGCTTGTTCACCCCCTCAAAGAACTCTAAAAGGTTAATGAGACAAGATCTTGCCTTATAGAATCCTTGCTGATTCTTCCTCAATAGCTTTTGTTCATCAATGTGCTTACTAATCCTATCTTTGATAACGGATTCCACCAATTTACCCGGTATTGACGCTAGACTGACCAGCCTGTAATTTCCTGGATCTCCTTTGGAACCTTTCTTAAAGATGAGGGTTACATTAGCTACCTTCCAGTCCTTGGGAATGGAGGCAGATTTTAGTGATGGATTGCTTTTTTTTGTCAAGAGATCCACAAGTTCGTATTTGAGATCTTTCAGAACTCTTGGATGTATGCCATCTAGGCCTGGTGATTTGTCAGTTTTTAATTTGCGCATAAGTCATAGGTCCTCCTGTCTTGTCACATCAATCCAACTCAGGTCTTTCAATACCCCTCCCACAATCGACAGTTCTGGAGTGGGCAAACACCTCCTATCCTCAACAGTGAAGACAGAGGCAAAAAAAGCATTCAGCTTCGCTGCCACTTCCCCATCATACTTTAGTAATCCTTCTACCCCTTGGTCATCCAAGGGTCCCACCACCTCCCTGGCTGGTTTCTTGCTACCAACGTGTTTGAAGACATTTTTATTATCAAACAATACTGTGCCTAAGGGAGGATGCAGCTAAGAAACAAACCTGGAGTGCAGCACAAACCCAGCGTGGAAAAAGCCCTCTCATTAGAATATGGCAGAGACAACGGAAGGGGGCGGGTCTGGGGTCATGAGGACCGATGTGAACCAGTGCAGTTCCACACTCCATTTCCAGTTGGGGACTGAAGAGTTAAGCCCCAGGAATTGTAGATTTTGAAGGATGGGGGGGGGGGGGAAGCAGGAATCCCCTGTTCTCGGAAGGAATTCTAGGTCTAAAGGGCAGCAAGGGAGAAAGGGAGAAGTCGTAAGCAGGAAGTATGTGGATGCCATCGATCCAGAGGGAGGGAGGGAGAGCACAGACAGAGGACCCAAAGGTAAGGTGGGGCACACAGCCAGGTAGCCTTTTGAAAGCTAGAAGTCTGTTGTGGTAGGGGAAAGTGGTGCAAAGCTGGAGGAAAGGTTTTTTATGGGTGTGATGCAAATCAACTGTTTCTAGAAGCACCAGTGCCAGGCCTGAGCTTATCTAGAGTTCTCAGCACTCAGGTGGGAGCAGGAGGTCCCTCGATTTTGCGGGCTCCTGCCCACTGCTGACCAGTTGCCCACCTCCCCACTCCTGGAAAGCTCCTTCCCACCCCCTGCTGGCGAGAGCAAAGGACATAAGAACATAAGAGAAGCCAATGTTGGATCTGGCCAGTGGCCCATCCAGTCCAACACTCTGTATCACACAGTGGCCAAAAAGACCAGGTGCCATCAGGAGGTCCACCAGTGGGGCCAGGACACTAGGAGCCCTCCCACTGTTGCCCCCCCCAGGCAGCAAGAAGACAGAGCATCACTTGCCCCAGAGCTCCTATCTATACCTTGTGGCTAATAGCCACTGATGGACCTCTGCTCCATGTGCTTATCCAATTCCCTTTTGAAGCCGTCCATGCTTGTAGCCGCCACCACTTCCTGTGGCAGTGACCTGGCACCCCTAAGCTTATCTGTTCTGTACCAAATAACATCAGGGGTACAAACCCTGCATGGATCTATCTACCCACCTGGGATGGGGGAATTGCCTGTCCCCAGGCTCAATTTCTTACCACTGAGGAATTTTGAAGAGCAAGAGAGAAAAAATGGTTTCCATATTGTGGCACTCTAGGAATTTCCCCTAGTCTCTGTGATAGGCCATAGAGATTAAGGGAGGCAGCCTAGAGTGTCACCCTTAAATGATGCCACATCCTCTCTAAAATCCAGCCTTCCCAGGCATTGTGCCTGGGCCCTTGTTTGCCAAGCTCTTGTTGGGAACCCCGCGCAGGCCACTCAGGGCTCCAGTTCAGCTAGAGCTGTTTATAGATGAAGCTGGCAGTGGGGGTGATATCATCATTTCCGGCTTCCTTTTCCAGGCAGATCACCAAGGCCGAGGGGGCCTCTCTCGCCACCAAATATGGCTGCTTGTTCTACGAAGTCTCGGCCTGCCTGGATTTCGAGTCCGTCCAGCACGTCTTCCACGAGGCCGTTCGGGAGGTGAGGCGAGAGATGGAGCGGCACATGGCCGTCCGCCCCCTGTTCATCATTGAGGAGAAGTCCCCCCTCCACCTCCTCCCGCCAGCCGCCGTGGCCTCCAAGCACGGCCTGGCCACCTTCAACACGCTCTCCACCGTCAACTACAAGGAAATCCCCTCAGTGGCCCAAGCCAAACTGGTCACGGTGAAATCCTCGCGGGCTCAGAGCAAGAGAAAGGCCCCGACGTTGACTTTGCTGAAGGGCTTTAAGATATTTTGAGGTGAGCCAGCACAGTGGCGCGACGGACCAAAGAGGAAAGGAGCCCCCGCCAAGGGACTGCACAGAACCCTGGGAGCTATTTGGCGACCATTTTGAAGACCAACATTCTGCAGGTTGTGCTGCTGTGGCCCTGCAGCAAAGCACTCTGGGAGAAGCAGTGGACCAGACTGTGGGCAAACCATGGATGAAAGGGCCCCAGAGACCTCCTGGATCAAACCAATGACCAAACCGATCCCAACATTTCTCACAGCACTGCCTACCACATTTGAGCCCTGGCTGTCCTCCAAAGAATTCAGGCCAGTGTTCCTGGTTCTCTCCCCCTCTGTTTAATCTTCAAAACAGAGGGAGGGAGATTAAGATGAGAAGAGACAGTAGCTGCCCCAAGGTAGATCGCCATGGGTAACCGCCCTGTCAGTCTGTCTGTAGTAGCAGAAAAGAGCAAGAGTCCAGCAACACCTTAAAGACTAACCTCATAGCTCGGTGGCGGCTCCTACCTGGTGGAACGAGCTCCCGGAGGAGACCCGGGCCCTGCGGGACCTTGCACAGTTCCGCAGGGCCTGCAAGACGGAGCTCTTCCGCCAGGCGTTTGAGTAGGAGCCGCCACTACTGTACCATCTTCATCTGGCCCTGGGAGAAAGAACGACAGCGCCAAGCGGAACAGATGGCACTGAGCGGATAGAACAGCATTACACGCCATTTTTATGGAAGATCGATTCGGAACATCCAGAGCACTTAATAATAATGCCGTAATATTGTAGAAATTGTTTTAAATGGTTTTTAAATGTGTTTTATGCGCTGGCTTATGCCTGATTGTGAGCCGCCCTGAGCCCGCGTTGCGGGGAGGGCGGGCTATAAATTGAACTTATAAATAAATAAAACAAAATATAGAAGAAAAAAATCAATTCAATTGGGCTTAACATTGGAGACCTGTCTCTGTACACAGAAAAGTCAGCCTTTAGGCTGATCAGGCAAAGACTGGTTGACATTGAGAGGCAGGTTCTTGAGAGCCGTGCAAAAAGTAGATGCTCACCCCTCAATTTGGGGCTTTTACCTTCTGGGCATGGGGCTGAGTATCTAACTTGTTTAACGAACCCAGGGCAACGCAAAGCATATATGTTAGCCAGCTTTAATGTGTTGCCATCAGCAGTATTATACGGGAGAGTCCAAAAAATCCCATTCGACAGTAGATTGTGTTCCTGCACTAAGCAGGAGATAGAAACGCTTGTTTCTTTCGTGGACTTTCTACTCAGACCTCCGCCTTACATTCATGGAGCCCTGCTTGAGAAAGTATTCAGGGAAACCTGATAAACGTAAGATTTACTTTTTGCTGACAACCCAGAACCATGAAATAATTGAAACTGTCGCAAGATTTCTGTATGAAGCTTCACAAAGGGGTTCAGCGTCGATTGCAAATTGAGTCGTATGTTCTGTAGGTTATGCCTTTCAAGGTCGATTGATTGATTAAAGACGAACCAGATTTGTGGGAGGGGAGGAGCTTTCTGAAGTCACTGCTCACTTCTTCAGAGGGACTCACGAAAGCTCCTCCCCTGCCACGAATTTGGCTCGTCTTTAAGCTGCTACTGGACTCTTGTTCTTTTGTATAGCTGCCCCAGGGTCACCCAGTGACCTGATGGGGAATTTGAACTTGTGCCATCCCATTACTGGGCCAACCCTACGGATGCGGAGTTAAAAGGTACCGTGGAAAGTGAACTAGTATCTGGAAAATTGGTGGGAGTCTGTTTGCGGGAGCGCTACTGCGCTAGTATAACGTGGCATCCGGCGCCCATCCACATCCCGTCGCAAACCGGATGTTTTTTGTAAGCGCATGCGCACAACCACGAAACTGAAAGCAGTGCTGCTCCACGGAACTGCGCATGCGCACAAACGTGAAACGCTTGTGTGATCGCACCACTCCACTTCTTTACCACGCTCCATCATTGCTGTGTGATCGCCAGCTAACAGCTGAAGCACGGAGACTCGGGGGACTGTGCGATCGGGCTACCGCGCTTTATTTTGCTCCGGGGCAAACAGCCACGCCTCCCCCCACCCCATGTTATCTGGCCCATGTGACCGGGGCCTTTGTGAGCTACTGGCATGAAAGTTGTGAGCAAGTGAAAAAGGGTGAGGGAAAAAGCGGCAGTGCAAGAAGCGCTACAGACATTTTAAACAGCACACCACAGCGATTCAGAAGCGCAACGAAGGGGTTGAAAATGGAATAAAAGCCGTTTCCCTCACAGCTCAACCATGCTTTGTTAACCTGATGCAAGCGGGTTTGTACGAACAGGTAAATAAATTCTGCTAGCAGGCGGTTACTAAGACGGATCTCTCTGAAATGACAGAAAAGAATCCATTTGCAACCAGTTACCAAAACAGAATACAAAGGCAGTTTGAAAAGGGTTATTGTCTGTTTTTCTGTTTGGTTGCTTTAAATCGTATTTTTGCATTCGAAAAGCCACTCGGGAGTCCCCAGGTGGGGAGGAAAGCAGGGGTACAAAGGCCCAAATCAAGCAAACAAGAGCTGCCCCTTGCTCCTGCAAAAGACTGGGTTCTCATTAGAGTTGCCAACCTCCAGTTGGGGCCTGAAGATCCCCCAGAATTACAATTGATCTCTGGACTTCAGAGAGATCAGTTCTCCCTGGAGAAAAGGCTCCTTTGGAGGGTGGACGTCTGGCATTCTACCCTGTTGAGGTCCCTGCCCTCCCTCAGCTGCACCCCCCAAATCTCCAGGAATTTCCCGACCCAGAGCTGGCAACCAAAACTTTTCATTCACAACCGATTTCCAGGACCAAAGGCATCGGCCAGGCCTCGTGAATGGCAAAGGCCCTCCGCCCAAACAGCACAGAGTGTCCAAGAAGTTCATAGGAACCAGGTCATCGTGGGTCCCTCTAGCACAGGGATCCACAACATGATGCCCGTGAGCACCAAAGAACCCACTGACACCTTTCCTGTTGCTAGCGTTGCCAATGGCCTGGGGGGGGGGGTAGCCAATCCCATTTTTGTGGGTTTCTCCCCCCCCCAACAGCATCACACATGACGTGCCTGGGTCACCTGGAAGTGACATCAGCACGTTGACAATGTTGGGGTTGACACTCTGGCTTTTGGCCAAAACTCTATGGTTTGATGCCGATTTTGCCATAGAGTTTTGCCCAAAATCCAGAGTGTCGCTCCCCATGTCACCGACGTCCAGGGGTCATTTCCTGCAGGAGGGCACAGGAGCGGAACTCCGGCATTAAAGAGCCCAGGGGGCGGGCACATGCAACAAGCCCCGCCCCCTGCTCCCAGCAGCCCTCAGTCAGAGCAAAAAGCAGCCAGGTATGCTTCCCCACCCCCCAATAGCTAGCAGTCCAAAACAGTCCAGTGGCACCTTTAAGACCAGGTTTTATTCAGGTTCAAGCTCTCCCTCCTCTGTGAGGGCAGATCTGCACGTTTCTCCCCCCCACCCCAATAGCTAGCAATCCAAAACAGTCCAGTGGAACCTGAGCGGTGGGTGTTGCCTTCTGACACACTTCCGGTGATGTCAGGGGGTGTGGCATATGCAAATAAGTTATGCAAATAAGTTATGCTAATGAGCTCCTGCACCTCTTTTCTACGAAATGACCCCTGCCGATGTCACTTCTAGGTGACACAGGCACGTCATGTGCAATGTCGCCGTGGGGGGATGGGGGGGGCCATGTCACTTCCCATTCCTGGAATGCCCCCCCATCCCCCCACTGGTGGGCAAAAGGGACGAGGCAACTCTGCCCGGTGTCCACAATTTGAAATTAGATTGGTTGTGCAGAACGGCAGGTTTTTCAAAATGTGACTTTGGTGGCCACTGCCATCATAGAATCGTAGAGCTGGAAGGGACCTCCAGGGTCATCTAGTCCAACCCCCTGCACAATGCAGGAAATTCACAAATACCTGCCCCCTCCACACCCCCATTGACCACTGTTCCACGCCCAGAAGATGACAAAAAACCTCCAGGATTGCTTCCTGACCCCAAAGTGGCAGTCAACATTTTCCTGGGCATCACAGCACCACGTTCTTTACTGTGTGATTGAAGCTAAGCTGTGGCAGCCATTTTGCGGCTGGCTCCTCCCCCTGCGACAACCATTCCGTGCCGGCCATTTTGTGGCTGCACCCACCACACTGTGTCAGAATTGCAAGTTGCCCACACACTGGAAAAGGTTGGGGACCCCTGCTCTAGCATAATCTACTTGGATGGATGGATGGATGGATGGATGGATGGATGGATGGATGGATGGATGGATGGGGATTGTTCCTTATCCTGCATGTATGATTGGGTACATGCCAGTCGATCCCAGAGGCTGAACCAGGTAGGGTTGCCAAGTCCATCTTCCACCCCCAGTGGGGGACTTTGGAGGCGTTCCTGGAGGGGGCGGGGCATCCCGACGTGATGACATCACGTTAGGGACGTCCGCCTCCCCCCCCCCCGGTGCGCCAGATCTCCAGAAACTGCAGTTCCCTGCACTTAAAGGAGCCGGCGTTTCCCTTTTAAGAGAACGAAGCTGGCATTTCCCTTCACGCTTGCGGAGATCGGGCTTGGGAGGAAACACGGGTTCCACACACTTAAAGGGAGAGAGATGGGTGGCTGTGGGTGTTGGGGGCGGGTAGAACCCCCCCCAAAATGGGGGACCTTTGGCAAACCGGGTGGGGGGGGGTTGGCAACCCTAGAACCAGGGAACTTTGACTGGTGCACAACCCTGGAGCTATGGGCCCATCCCCTGAAACACTGGAGTACCCTATTTGCACACATTCTGCCTCCTTGTTTGGCACAAAAATCTCCAAATCCTGCATTCGGCACTATTTCATACGGTCTAGCCTCATTGTGTTTCCTATACGTAAATTCATCATTTGGTATAAATGTGAGATCATGTGCGGACCTGGGCAGCAGGATGTCAGTCTAAATGTTCCATGTTCATTTGGGAAAACTGCAAATGATGCTTTCCGGGGGACGTAAAAATCTGGGGGCCTGCGTCTAGAGAACAAAACTCACATCACAGAGGACACAACGAGACACGCAGTTGGGCGGGCCCAAGGTTCGTTCCTGTGCCGGTTTTTGTTCCTGGCTCTGTCCCCCAAGACACCTGGCTTCAGCCAGGAGAATTGATTGACGCAAAACCAATGTGTAATTTTTATACGTTTGCGATCCATGTTTTCTAATCACTTGGGATGTGTTTTTCTTGGGCGAGAACTGAGGCAGCAGGAGGGAACATGCAGAGGTGGAGCACAGCTACCAGTGTGTGTGTGCATGGACACGTGGAGCATGCCAATGAAACAAAACTGTGGTGCTCCTTGCTTTCGGTTTTATAAAGCCACGACAAAGACGAGAGACTTTTGGATCGCCAGAGTTGAAGGACAGGTGGAAGGAGCACAGAGCCCCCTAGTGGAAGACGAACGCATTACCGTTGTGGCGGATTTCCTCTTTGTGCTCCCCAAAGCCATGCACC